ACATGAACACACTATCTCGGCAAACAGCTAAAAGACACGCATTCGTTCTTTTCTCTCGCGATGTTCAGCGAGACCAACCAAACCTGCAGTGCATGAGGAAGCTTTTCCGTCTGCAAACACAATAATGGCTGCCGCCCAGCTGCTTTGTTGTAAGGCTAGCCTACAAGTCGAAACCGGCGTATTAACGGCGTCTGCGTCTTTGCTTTGATACATTTGTTACTTCAGGTGAGAGATAATTATGCAAAATGCGCTAATAATACCGTTTTCAGACATATTTACCTACTATCTGTTTGATGTACTTTGCTTTTCAGCGCAGCGCTTCGGAGGTTCCGCTATTCTCTGCGCAAAACAATAACGAAATTGCACGCAAAAACGACTTTTTGCAATGTAAATGGTCAGTTGTAGTCGGTCTTGTGCGGCGTTGGCAGTTAATGTAAATTTTTTGAGTAGGTTAAAATATAATTTTCGAGACTAGTTATACTGTCGATGCCCAATAACAAGTGTCTTGAATCGGATGTTTCTTCGTAGAAGGGAACACTTTTTTTAAACGACGAATAACTTGCCTCGGCCACATTAGATAGAATAAAAATGTAAACGGAAATTTAACGACAGGTCTGAAGCAATAACATGATGATGCTTCTTCTTTTAGCTGTTTTTTGAATGCAGTCTGGTTATGGATTGTTAAAGCAGATGACCCTGTCAGGATCTTCGCGTTGGTTCATTTTTTTCCTTCTTTTTTTTTTGGCAGATTTTAGCTCAGAAATATTTTCCTTAAGGCCTTCTTGAACCAAACATGTCTTTATTTTGAGGTGCACGTCTGCGCAATAAAGCCTGGCTGATCCTGTTTTATAACGGTTTATTAACGGCACCAGTTTCCCTTGCCATGTCACGCTTTATTGGATATTCTGTCTTCTGCAATCTGTGTTGCTGTCTCATTGTTGGCTCCATGCAAGGTTATGCAAGAAATGTGTCACCCTTAAGTTCGTGAAAGAATGGACCCACTTGAAAGTAATTTGGCCCACATGAAGGCTAGTGATTGGTTTGTGAGGGGATTTTTAGATGCAGATGCTGGATCACTGCACAATTCAACCCTAAAATATTTGACTGAAGTTACAGTCACACCACACGTTCTTTACTCATAGAGGAAGCAGCAGTACCCGCCAAGAACCCTTCCATGAACATGCAAACTCCATCCAGAATGACCCCATGTCGAGATTCAAACACCTGACCTTCTTGCACCAAGGCAGCAGTGTTTACAGTACCAACTGACCCAAGAAAAAAAAAATCAATATTTTTAGACAATAAAAAGTGGATTTTAATCATAAGATAACTTAATAAAAAGTTAAATACCTTTTTATTTCTTGTGAAATTTTTTCTATAGTTAAAAATGGATAAAGAAAAAATACAAAAGGCATTAGAATGGGGGAGAGAGGCATCAATATAAACCACAGCAGAATGTAATAATTGATGAAAAGGAAATGATAAAAAAAAAACACTGCAGCAAAACCAAAGATAAGTTACTTACATTGTGTATTAGACTTAAAACAGATTTTTCTTACTGTTTTGTTCTCAACCTCTTACTGGGAATGTTAGCATTTTATGTAGCAACATTTTTATCAAATTTTTACATCAAGAAGACTGGAAGCCCAACTAAGCGGCTGCATATAATTGGATTTTAAAGCAACAATTCATTTCCCTTCAACTCTAACAAGCTACCAAAAATCGAGGCAGTCTTTAGCAGTTGAATTTTTGTCGGTAAAACCATTTTTGATCGAGTTTGTCGTCGTCAGTTTTCCATGTGAACTTAGTCTTTTGTCTGCCGAGGCTGAACTGGGAGACAGGAAACTCATTTCCACTTCCTCCATCTGCTTTCTCAATCTTTTCCCTACAGTAAGTGATGGTGAGCACACAGAGCAGCGTGCTGCGTGTTACTGCCCATACTCTGGTTGTCCACTTCGCTGTTGGCTCTAAGGGAGAAACACTGAGTGGTTGTTTGTCCTCTGCAGGATTTATGCAATGGATCGACTCACTTTTGTTCTCTGCTGTCTCTTCAGTTGCATCAGTGGCATTGCTGCTCTCCCACAATGCATTGCCAGAGGCGTTTGTGTTCATCCGACAGACCAGTATAACCATTACCTCCACTCCTTCTAGCCCAAGTCAGAGCAACAAAACTAGAAGGTAGGTGTCTTAAGCTAAACATAATATGTATCCTATGTGAAAAATATTGAAATACAAAAGTCCCATGTAAGGAATTTGTTTTTCCTAAAAGAATGAAAGTTGTGGTGAGGATGTGTAGGAAGTCTTTATATGCAGCAGCTTAAAAGTAAAATCCAGTTTTGAACCTTTATGCATTTTTTGCTACTGTTCATCTAGTGTTCACTGAAGGAATGCTGTGTTGTTGCATTTTAGGCAATAAAATGTTTATTTCTGTATGTATTTGTAGCCCTAGATTTCACTAAGGTCAGAGCTCATTGTGTCTTTATTCTCCAGCCTTGTGAAGTTGTCAAATTTTGTCAGGTTTGGTTTGCTGTGTGACTCCCCACTTGAAAGGGATAGTTTATCCACTGTGAAGTTTGAACTGGATTTCACTCAAAGAGCCCTTTAATTTGGTTGACTCATCTTTATTTTTGTATGATGGTCCACATAGCTGAAAAACCGGCTGTCTTTCACAGTTTGTAACAGTTTGTACAAACTTTTGCACAGTTCTGAATTTGTATGCTACCAGCACTGTTTGCTTCTGATGCTCTCAAACCAAAGTGACAGGTCAGTCACACCAAAAGTACCTGCACTCTGATTGCTAGGAGATTGAGTCCACCTGGTTCTCCTCACTAACAGGCAGAGAAGCTGCAGAAAGGTGCAGCATAGGGGAGTGGCAGAGGAGAGCGGTTACCTAGCAGTTCACCAGAACAGAAGTACTATAGGAGAATGCTGCTCTTGTGCCAGAAGGGGTTTCCACAGAGTCAACAAGACTTTGCACTTTTGAATACATTTACTTAATTTAGCGGCTGTTTTTGTTTTCTGCGAAAATTTTCAGACATGATTGTACTGCTGTAACAAGTCTAAGTGTTAGATTTATTACATAAGTCTAATGCTTATGGTCTGTTTAGAAATACAGTGTGATTTCTAAACAGATATTGGTTTAATTTCAGTTTAGAAATCAGGCAGATTTAAGCCAACGACTCTCTTTCCGTTTCCTTTCTTCCTTCCAGGTTCTCCCTTGTCTCAACTTGTTTATTAATTAACTGCAGCTATGTCTGGTTCTGGTGACTTACCAGGTGAGTACTGATATGGATTAATGAAGGTCAGTTTTAAATTGATAAATCAGTATGTGCTCTGCCCATGCGCAGTATCTTCATTATTTATTTTTTTTTTAAAGATGCGTCATATGTAACGAAAGCCAAACAATAAAGGCTTATTTGATTCTTATTAGGTTAAGGGTTTTATTAAAGAAGAAATATTTAACTTGTATAAAATGATTAAAAATGTATATTAGTCACAAATGCAAGTTTAGTTTGATCTGAAACAAAATGTTTTAATTGACTTACTGAACATGATTACGCCTCCTTTCTGCAGAGATTTACCACAGGTCATTTTCTGCTCTGTTAATGTTTGTATCTGTTCGTTGTGGGAATATTCTGACCTAAATATCAACAAAACCAAAGTCCCTCAGTTGCTTACTTTGTTATCAGAAAAACCGCCTCAGACCAGAGCTTTAAAACTTGGCAACTGCTTCTGGACCTCATATGAACCTACAGCTGCAACCGCCTGCAACCTCATACCTAAACCAACTATTAACTTTATTCTGCTGTGACTGGACAATATTTATGTTCCTAACTGAATCATATTCCATGTCATCAGATAGTATTAATAATTTAACATGTAACTGAATATGTTGAAACTTTGCTTTTAAATTGTTTTGCGGTCAGGACACCCAATAAAACGAGCAAAACGAGTTATTTTAGGAAGGATAAGGTCCGTCTGTCTCAAGTTAAGTTATCAAATGGAATCAAGATCATTTCTATAATGAATTTTTCTTTAAATTTTGTTAAATCCAATTTATAAACTAAGTTTTGCAGCGTTTTGTTTTGGGTTTTTTTGCTTTACTTTTAATATTTTTTTTAACTTTAAATTTGTGTTTTAACATTTTATTTTCATAATTGATTTCTTTCTAAATATTTATTTGTAAATAAACCAATTCATCATCTAAAATTTCAAACTCTTTGAAAAATAATCCTTAGAATTTCCTTGTGAGTGACTTATTTCAGGTCCATGTTCACGAGATGAGATTTATCAACTCTTAATAGACAGAAGCTTAATAGATTTAATCTGTGTGCCTATAGCAAACTAATATTTCCCTAAGGAGCCATCAGTTGATCAATTTTCACATTTTTGTCATCCAGATGAGCTTCGGACACCATTTCTGTTTTTGATGGTTTTGCTTTTTAAAATCATCATCCGAACATTTTCTGAGTTAGAGACGATTTCCCTGCTTATTTTTTAGCTTAAAATATGGAACAAAACGTTGTTGGATATTTTCCTATTTTTAGAGCCTTTATTCAGAAGTTTCAGTTTTTTTCTTTCAAGTGATTCAGTCCCTTTAAATATTTTGTTGAGACCGACTCCAAGCACAAAAAACATTAATGTTAACCTTAAGCTTTTGTCTACTTTGTTCTGAGCCGCTTTACTACGGTGAAATCTCTCCATTCTGGAGATGAAGTAATATCACAATGAAAGAGGACAAAATATGAAATTATCTCTGCAGCCATCGAGGGTTCTGGGATGGGTGGGATGAAGCTCCCCGTTGGAATGACTCGACGGGCCCTCAGCTACGACGACAACCTGGAGGCCCCCATGTCCACGCCACCCCACGACATCAGCATCAACAACCTGTGGAGGCGGCCTGTAATACCGGAGAGGAAGTTCTCCCAGCTAGCTGAGGTAAAACACTTTTCCATTTCCACGCCTGATCGTTTCCCAACAGGTCCACTTTCAGTCTGACTGTTTGACCTTATAGGAGGATGAAGGCGGCGCCGTCAAACAGGCTGCCGGGCAGGATGGCGCCCTCTTCAAGGCTCCAGCTGTAGTGAAAACTAAGGCTTCGTCCATCATCATGAATTCTCTCATCACCAGTAAGTTAGAGCTCCTATAATCTACGTAACGACCCTTTATTAGGGTGGAAAGTTATCCATGCTATCTGAATATTTTCTAAATCGGATTATTTGATCAAGACATGAAAATAGATTTTGCTATCAAGCAGCTTTCCACTAGAGTGACTGTATTGTCGTCTGCCCTCAGAACACACTCAGGAAAGCATGTACAAGTTTGAGCAGACGGCGGGCCTCACCGACACCAGTTACACTCCACACAAAGGCCTGACAGCGGAGGAGACGAGACACCACCACCGCGTCCCCGAGTCCCTCCAGGTCAGATCAGCACGTCAGTAATAAAACATGAGGAGACAATAGTGTGCTTTATATGCTGGGTTTAAAGGCCAGCTGACCAATAAGAGCCACAGATCACATGAACAGGGTGACCGCACACCCTTAAAAAAAGTCTTAAATTCATGCATTCAAAATTAAGGCCTTAAAATGTCTTAAATGTATTCAAAAACATGTAAGATGGCCTTATATATGTCTATCACAGGTCTTAAATTTTGTCTTGGCAGAGGTATTAATCTCGTATTTTCTACATGGTTAATTTTTTTTGCAGGACTTTTGTGTCAGGCAAACATCCGCTTGCTGTTGAAATTCTCCTTGTGGAGTGGAAGGCAAATAATGCATAGTTTTCAAATATTATAAAATAAGTCTCGGTGCACATTTGTGTTCAGACCCCTGGTTGTTATTGGGGGCTGCAAAAGACTGGAGTGGAGATCAGCTTCACGTAGGATAGCCAGCCTAAACATACATCCAGAAATACTATGGAGGGGATAGCTTGAAAGTTCAAACCTATAGCAAATTTAGAAGCTGCAAAATTGCTTCTCCTGATTTTAATATATTTTGCAAACAGGAATCTGGTAGATTTCAATCTCAGCAAAATATCAATGTACAAAGTATGGACTCGGGCTGCTGAAAACAAAAGCAGACACACTTCTCAGAATGTTAAATGGAAAAAAAAAAATCAAAAATCATCTTTCCTTGTCCTTCCATATCTTTTTGAGTTGCTCTGTCACATAAAATCCCAATAAGATCCAGTAACGTTTGTTATGTAATGTCCCAAAATGTGGAAAAGTCCAAAGGCTATGAATGCTTTGGCAAAGATCTGTATCAGATGTAGCAATGCTAGATAACAGATACCTCTGTGATGTTGTGTAGAAGCTGCAGATCCAAAGCCTGGAGGCCAGAGAAGAGAAATCCTCCTCTGCCCAGTCGACTCCATCGAACACTCCGCACAGCTCGCCGAAGCAGCAGCGCAGGTACACATGCAGCGTTCAGCTTCCTGTGGTCTGAGCCCTGCTTCAGTGCATCGGCGTGACCTGGATAAGGGACTGAAAGCTGGCATGCTGTTTGTGTTGGTTTGCAGAGGCTGGTTCGGGAGTACGGGGTCAGAGGTCAGCATCAGCTCCTCTAACAGCAGTGTAGACATGGGAGGAGGAGGAGCGGCTGGAGATCCAGGCGTAAGTGGAGCGGTCGAGCGGTGGGGCGTGTTTGGGCCTCGACTTCCTGTCCAGAGTTCAGCCTCTGACGTGGGATCAGACGGCTCTGCTGCAGGTAACGGCAAAGGCCTGCAAATGCTTAAATACAAACAGAAACAAATACTAGCAACACAAACTCACTTTATCCATGACTGAGCTGTTCACGCATCCTTAGTAAGTCCTACATCTGTGTATCTAAAACTAAGGCCATAAAATGTCACAAATTCAGTAGAAAATATCGTGACCTCTTAAAATAATGGTCTTATTTTTTGCCAAAAGTGATTTTTTTTGTTTGTTTTGCTTTAAACATCTTTTGGTAAGAAAGAGGTTGTGATTTTTATTTTTTTATTTTTTTTTTTGCCAAAATTGACCATTATATTAAGAAGGTGATGATATGCATGTTGGCCTTAATTGCTTTAATCACAGGTCTTAAATTTTGTGGTGGCAGGACTCTGTCATACATTCTACATAATTTAATTTCCTTGCAGGATTTTGCTATCGAGGAAACATTTAGTCGTGCCCAGACATCTTCATTGCTTTCTGAGGCTCCCACTAACTAGCTGCTAGCATGCATGTGCTATCTAGAAAACTAGTGTAAATTTATCACTAGTTTGCTGAAGGATGTTTGTCTTAGCCTCTGGCTCATTTCTGTTGCCTCTCCATATGTCCATTCAGTGCAAAATAATTAAGCATTACTACGATGTAAAATATTTAGTTTTCTTTTGTACATTTGTGTCATGATACAGATCTTAAATTGTATTCATAATGGTCTTAAAAAGATCTTAAACCTACAGAAACTGTTTATTTATTATCAGATTGAGCTTCTGCTCCAGATTCACAGCCACATTCTGGGTTAAAGGATGAAAGCAGGACCTTCAGACTAGCAGTAAACACTGATCAACATTCACTTTGTCAGTCGTTGGCCCCTGCAAAGAGTGACGCAGAATTTCCCTCTACATAAACACATGAACACCAGACAGCAGACGCTGCAGAGAAGCTGCTGTTAGATGTTAACATCTGGAATGGTTGAACTGGAGACCTAAAATCTCTCCTCCAGGATGACTCTAGGTAGGTCATCAAGGAATCAGGGAATGATCTCTTCTGGATGTGTTTGGAAATATTTGAGATTTGTTTATCTTCCTGGGAGATTTTAAATTTAAGTTCAGAATATATTTTTTTAATTAGCTATAGACATCTTAAAACAAGAATTGCTACAAAAGTGCAAAGCAAATAAAAATGCACTATTTCCAAAGTAAACACGGGGATTAGAAATGTATAATTTCAGCAGTGAGATATAACAGCTCAAAAATGCATTTAAATAAGAGTAGAGTGAGTCAATCTTTAACTGTTCCTCTTTGTACAATCTTCAGATTGTACTGAGTCCTCTCCTGTGCTAACCTCTGAGGTCTTCTATAGGATGTAGATCTATAGACCGAGATGGTATTGGATGAACTCTGACTGTGTCTGATGACCCATTTGTCTTGATTTGGCCACACGCTGGGTCATTATGCTGCTGAAAGCCATAATTTTGATGGCTACAGTCTTTGTTCTCCTTGACCTGAATATTGTGTTTGATAACATTGACCATGTAGTTCTGATCTGTGTGCAGTGATGGCTGCCACAGCCCTACCATGTTCTGAATCTTACCTAACCAGTTGGAGTGTTTCCAGTCTAACTAGTTGATTTCTCCTCAGCTGCAGCTCAGATTTCTTTTGGAGTCCTCCAAGGCTCCGTCTTTGGTCCAATGCTGTTTTTTTTATTATATTTATTGCCACTGGGGATGATTTTTTTTTTATTCAATTTAATTAAAAACTACTTTAAGACCTACATGAATTGTTTAAGGAAATGTTCGCTTTCTTCTGTGCAGAGAAGTTCCAGATAATCTGTAGAGCTGTGTGGTTTTGAGGCAGTAGCCAGTTCTTTGTAATCAGTTTGACATGTCTGCCTTTCTTAAAGGGCAGGTTCTCTTGTCTTTCCCATCTTGAAGAGTGGTTAAAATAAGCAAGCCTCTGCGTCGTATTTAGGCCGGAAAGAAACAGAACACCATTGATGACAAAGTAGAAGTTGCTTGAAATTTGTATTCAGACAATCTAGAAAATATGCTTCAGTAAATTTTTTTAGTGATTATTGATGATTTTTCTTTTTTTTTTTTTTTTTTTTTTTTTTTTTTTAAATGTAGTTCATTTCAAAGTAGAGTTTTTGCATATGCTGACTGCTGCGTTTTTCTCCCAGCAGGCTTTGCCATCCAGGCGTACCGTGGAGCCCAGAAGCCGACCCCCATGGAGGTGATGAAGTCGCAGGCCACGCGGCTGGCTGACAACCCCCAGAGGGTGTCCCCGCCCAAAATGGAGATCCCCACGGTGGAGGGCCGGCGGCAGGGAGCGCGGCCACACAAGCTCAAACACCGAGACATGAACATCCTGACGCCGTCCGGCTTCTGAGACAATCGCCGTTAATACGACCAAGGTCCCACGACATGACAAAACCACCCTAGAGTCCCTCATTTTACTGTTCACATTCCCTTATTGTTCAGGTTCAACAGAAACATGAGTCTTACCGTTTCCAAAGAAATTCTTTTTGTGCTTGCTGCTCATTTGATGTTTATATTTTCTATATATCATTAATAAAATAAACTCCAGTCAGACTGAAAGCATTTTAAACCCCCCTAAGTTTTATTTATTTATTCAGGAGGAATTCAAAATTTATTGAAATCCATTGAGTTTGTAACTTCATGTGAGAATTGTGACCATCTATCATAACTGTAACGTCAAACAAGTGGGTAGCTGAACTCCAGCTGAAGGATTTTCAGAACCAGAGCTCTAAAGTTCAGCCGTTCGGCAGCTCAGACTGGGTTCATGCTAGAACATATAGCTTCAGTTTGCTAATCTGTAAAAATAATGTTAAATATTTTCTTCTCTCATGTTTTTGGTTTATGTCGCCTTGTTTATTATGTTGATCATTTTTAACCAGCTTTTTTTGTTTGTTTTACAAAAAATAGCTAGCATGAAAAACATTGTTTCACCTTAGGATTAATTCACCCTCGTTTCATCCCTTCCTGCTTCACACTCATGTACATTACTCATTTTTGGTTGTTTATATTTTTAGTCAAGTATTTTCATGAATAATGCAGATAAATGTGCATAAAAAGTCAAATCACATGTAAAATGTAATCTAATTCCGCTTTATTTCATCTTATTTCCATTAATCCTTATGAAATATGACATCAATGCTCCGATCAAACCAAAATAACTCAGAGAAACTTTTTATGTTGGATGTTATTTGAGTCACATTTCCTGAGCATTAGAGCCGTTGCAGATGAAAGATGAAATGAAAGACATAATGTGGCCAAACTCAGAAATTCTTATATTATCTTCACATATTTATGAGAAAACAATTAGATATTCTCCAATGTTGAATGTAGAATGCTAACACAGGAAAAAAATTAAGTAATTCTACACGATTAAGGCATAAATTGTGATAATTAAGCTGATGTATTTGCTGACTTTATGTAATCAGACATATGCTACAGAAAATGCAACAATTGTACATTTTTCCTGTATGTGAACATCTCCAGTGTTCAGACTCAATGCAGCTTCCCTCATACTGTAGAGTTTGTAGTTTTCTGAGCTCAAACTTCTTGTAAAGAAATTTGAAATTTTCACAAATTGAACTCACTTTTCTCCATTATTTTTACTGACGACTGCATTTGAAGGATTTTGTTTTTTACGTTTTTTGGACTTTAAAAACTGCTGTGTGTATTTTCTGCATCTCACAGAAACCTTGTCACTTATTTTATATATATATATATTTAAACACTTCAAATATTTTCTCCCTAAATAACAAAATATGGCCTTACTGCCAAGTTATCTTAATTTAGGCAAGTTATTTGCTGTGCTGCCTGGTTTGCAGATGATGGCTAACATAATATATAAAAGTTTCTGTAAGATTACACGTGCAAAGCATCTTCATTAAGCACTTTTGACCATAAAGTGAACCTTTTTTCTTCTTATTACTATTTTCTGGTAATAAAATAAAATAAATCCTGAAAGTTTACCACTTGTAACTGCTGTGGTGATATTCAGATGCTGTCATTCTGTGTGGTCACTAACTGTTGATATTTGATGTACTTTCCATTTGTTAAAGATGAGTCTATAGTACTTGTGTTTACAGGTGCTCAGTGGTCAGTGTGATACTCTCCCCCTTTAATCAGACTGAAGCATCAGTTTAATGTTCTGTCTGTAGGCATGACTCAGTCCTGATAGAAAGTTTCTGTCAGTTCAGTGATTTTTATTTTATATTTCTTTTCGATTTTTTTTCTTTTTTACTGTCTGTACAGTTTAGTTCACGTTGCTGGCACAGTTTGACAATAAATATTTCATCCTCTGTGGAAAATAAAAAAGTCTCAGCTTCATTGTTTTTGGTTTAAAAAAAATTATTTTAACAAATTTCATTGGCACTTCATGACAAAGATAATTTCCACGTTGATCACAGTAGATCTCATCCTCCTGTGAAGAGACCTGCTTTCAGTTTTCATTTAATTCATATCAGATTAACTGGCAATAAATAATAAAAGAAAGTGGATTAAAATAGGTTTTATTAGAAAAGTGTTTTCATGCAGAAACGGTGGTTTCAGGTTTCAGATGATGATAATGCGCAGACATAAATATTGAGTCCAGGCAGATGTGATTTGAAATGTGCAGGTTTTTCACGTGTCTCAAGAAATCAGAATGTCGACATGTATGTGATTTAACCAGGTTTTATTTTTTTAATGTAGTATAAAAAAATTCTAATGAGCCCAATTTGGGTTTTCATTGGCCACAATCATCAAAAGTAACCTGTGAGTAATGAATCAATGTACAGTGGACGCCCACCTATTTAAAGTCCACTAGTTGTGTATTCTTCACTGCTTTTTGTTGGATTTCTCATTCAATAGGTCGCCATGCAGGGTATGGAGATGGGACCTTGTAGGTTTGTAAATGTGCTCTTAAATTAATAAAGATGGAACTAAAAATATTTACTCATAATTCCTAAAGATTTCCTAAAAACCAAATTAATAAAGTGTTGGAATAATTTTAGTTTTACATATTATAATTTATGAATTTTATTTAATTTCCACCACCATTTTGTAAAGAGCACAATTGTATTTAATATCAATATGTTAACTATGTTAAACAGGTCATGCTGACACGTTAAATCTTTCATACATCAAGTCTGAGCTTTTTGGAGTAATTAAAGGTGGACAGTTTTGACTAAAGGATATGTGGAACATAAAACTGATGCTTTATCACCTGGAGACACCTGGGACTGACTGAGTCTCAGTCATCACAGGCTTCAGTGTGCTGCCTGAGTTTCCTAGGAAGACGAGAATTAATTTGAGATTTAAAGGCAAATTTTTAAAAAATCCCATCAGATCTGACCTTTAATAACGTGAACCTCCACTAATGTGATGTTCTTATTTCTGTTTTCATACCATTAACTCATCTTGACATAATCCGTCCGCTGCTAACTGCAGCTTCTTTCTTCCCTTTTTCACTCCTGCTGAGAAAAACAGTCTTTCAGTCTTCAGATGCTTCCTCCTCCAGCTCTTCCCAGATCTCCTCCTCTTCTCCTTATTTCTCCATATGTCCTGAAGAACAGCTCCATCTCCCTCTGAAGGGTGGTGTTCCGGCGGTCTGCGTCTGCCTTGGCTCGCTCCATGTTTCTGATCTTGATCTCTGCCACGCTCTGGCTTCGCCTCTGCTGCTCCAGACTGAGTCGCAGAACGGCAACTTGCCGTTCGAGGGCGCCATTGCAGCGCTCCAACCTATAATCCATGAATAAATGACACGGAGTGACCAAAGTGTTGCACCTCTTCATTTACAGAGAATAGTGTTCAGATTTCCTAAACCTTTGTATATTTTTACATCTTAATTTTGTTGCAGCACCTCTGCATTAGCAGTGAGCTGGTTGCAGTTTTCTGACCGACTGCTGACTACCAATCTTTAAAAAGCCTGACCTGCCGACTGATTGTGGCCGATTCTGATATTTTCGTCTGAAATGTTGCTAAATATAGCAAGGACATCAGTGAGTTGGCAACAGTGGGGTAATTAGTGTTAACAGTAAACATGCATGTCCTGGTGAGTGGCTCTGTCAGTCAAATGTAGGGGTAAGGGTAAGTGTTAGGGGTCAGATTGAAATTGTATGAACCTTAGTAAAGTAATACCTCTCAATCCTGTTTTGGTACTCTGCCTTCTGCTGAGCCATCTGCTGCCTCAGCTTGGCCAGCAGAGAATGAGTGTCCCTCGACTCTAAATGAGACTCTTGAACCTGGAGATCCGGAGCCCCAGAGGGGAGGAAGACTTCTGAGCTCCCTGTGCTGAGAGGGCTGATGCTGATGACAGAGCAGGAAGCCCAGGAGCTCGGATGTTGCTTGGCACCATTGCCTTCAACTCCATTGTCTTCATGATCATCTTTATCACAGATTTCCTGTTCTCTTCTCTGATTCAGAGGCAACATTCTGGATCTCTTTGGTGGGATATCAGGACTACTGACCCCCAGTTCATCCTTGCTTTTATCTAATGGTAGAACTTCACAGGAAGACCATGAGGAAGAGGAGTCTCCTGCCATCCCCAGTTCTGCTTGATCTACCTCTGTTTCACACATTCCAACATTGATTCCTAGAGAATCTAAATCAAAGTTCTCAGTAGGAACATTCTCCAATGTGTGAGACAGAGAGGCTCTGTCCAGGTTGTCATAGACTGAGGGTGTACTGTCCTCCTGTGCTTGACTGCTCCCCCCACTGGCTGCTTCAGGAACCTCACCCTCTTCCTCTGCTCCTCTGCAGCTCCAGGAGGCAGAGGCTGCCTTTTCTTGGCGTTGCCATCCCATTGCCCCCTGATTTGAGCTTTCGGTCTGTAGCTGGGGGTTGGTTGTTGTGGCTTGAGCATTTGCAGAAGATGAACCCTGCCCAGAATGGTACTTGTAAAAATCTCCTTTGTGCCTCCCAGGGTGGTGGTTGATGGACTCACTGGAGGAAGGCAAGGGGTAGAAGCAGTTCTCTGGATGGGAGGAAGTGTAGCGATGGCCAAGGTGTTTCTTCTGACCAGAGAGCAAGTCTGATTTACCAGCAGCAGAGAAGATACAACTGCAGGGAAGAAACTTCAACAGTTATTAAAGACAATTCATACTGAAGTCGGATCTTTAATGTTAACTTGAACCTCAAAAGTGAGAAACTGCAAAAACACAAAATGTTAACAAGTATTTTTGGTCTAGTTTCCACTGCAAATATCTTGGTACCTTGAAATAAGACAGAACTAACTTACAATAAACTTTTCAGTACAAGATAGGAGCCTGTTTTAAGTCAATAATTCCTTTATATTGATGAAAAACTACCAGTTATAAGTGAAATAGTTTTCTCATATTATAAGTTTAAATCAAAATATCTTGTGCAAGTTTTCCTCTGCTTACAAGGTTTATAAAGATTCAGATTTCACTTTTCAGCAGGACCAGGTACCTGCCCACAGGCGGATGTTTAAAAAAGTGCTTTGATGGTCATGGTGGCGCTGTGGTTGGTTTTAAACTCATTTACTTAAATAAATTAACTTTTCCTTTGAATTCTATTTTTCAGATGCATCTATTATTCTCTACTTGTGTGAGAATGACTAATCGCCAACTGACTGTTGAATGCTTGAACCCCTGTGTTTTACCTAGAGTGGTCTGCATGTGCGGCTGGTTGTCCTGATTCACTTGAGTGGTCTGCAATAAGAGGCAAAGACAGCTGGCGAAGGCAGGGCGATGGCTGGAGATGGGGTTGCTTCAAAGGCGTTGCAGAAGGATGAGAGCAGGCAGAAGGAGGGAACTTGGCAAACAGAGATTTGTGTTGTCTGATCAGCTCCGACATGAGCACCTGGACCAGTTTTGTAGCTTGGAGACAGACAAGAAGAACTTATTGTCCAGAAGTCAAAGCTAGAAAATGTTGTTGCACTTGCTTAAGGTCATCTATCCTAAACATAAGCAGGAGCTGAAATATTTTTTATCAATTACTGGTTGTGAGATAGAATACCTCTCTTCTTAAGAATATATCCAGGTCTGGATCAAAACCTCCAACATGTCTAAAGAAAGTAAACTTATGTTTTTGGAAGATAATTCCAACAGGTAAAGCACTGAGCATTACCTCTAAACCCAGGAGTACCTCAGGTGCAAGTATCATGGTATGTAAAAATTTATGAAATTGTTGACCGTTTTGACCCAAAACCTGCAGGTGTAAGCTAGAAGACTGACAGTGAAGATGCTAAGCCTTTTTAAAACATCGCCAAGATTCCAAGAATATTTTTAATCAACAAAATAATGGCTTCAAGAAAAATAAAGTTTTGCAATCGACTCACGTCAATTCAGAACCTAATCTGACAGAAAACCTGCAGGGTCAATAGACAACCATGAGAGACAAAGTTTATCAGTGATGCTAATGTTTCCTGGCAACTGAGAAAAATGGAAAAATTATGTAAATGCATTAAGAGTTAGTCTGCAAAAAGTAAATTCATGATTTCTACAGACTTTCTTACCGATTATGCTTTTAATTTAGGAGTAAAAAAATATTGACATGTTCTAGAGCACTGAAAAACCTTTATGAAGTAGTAGTATTTTGAAATAAGCAAAAAATATTAAATAAACTGCTGCCAGTTTACCTCCCATGATGCTTTGTGGGTCTTCAGCTTTGGCTCGAAGGATGTTTGGTCCAAACACGGTTGCCAAGTTCTGGACGTTCATCTTGTTACTGCTGGAGCAGCTCTGAACCTCATTCAGAAACCTGCACACACACATCCGTTCCTCATGAGCTGCACAAACAGAGAAGCTGGTTCCAACTTTGAAACAATCTGCCTTGATTTAATCACCAAAAATGTCAAAACTAATGAAGTCAGACAGATCATACTGGCAGATAAAGTTGAGTAGGTTGAAGTTTGCGACAGGTAACTCATGAAGAAGATTCGTCAACTCCTCCAGACCCTGATGGAGGACATGGAGATAAAACAGAAAGAAGAAACCTTTCTAAAATAAAACACTCATTAAACCTCATGTAATCTGAGCAATGTGTTTTCACCAATAGTTGTGTTTTACATCAGTCTCTGTGGTGTGGTGCACTGAGTGATTACCACTGTACGGTCACTTAACAGCTTCTGACCGCAGAGCAGAAAGTCCTGGTAGTGGCTGTAGGGAACCAGAGGTTCTGGTAGCTGCCTGAGGTAGAGCTTCAGCAGTGATGCCACAGTGTGGACGTCTGTCCCGCTGCAGACAAAACACAACACACCAGATTCCTTACCTAAACAGCCAAGCCCCCCAACTCAAAGTTAACATTCACACTTCAAAGTGACTGCAAACAAATGTACAATTATACAACCATATATATCTTTGAATAGTAGAAGTAGAGCCTCTTGCATAACCAACAAGAATGCAGCAAGTGGTTTCTGGATAGTAACATTTGTCTTTTCCAGCAGCCATACTACATCGCATACAGCAGTAAATCCAGCTGACCAAATGTGCTGGAGCTCTGCTTTTGTTGCTAGATGACAGACTATTTGCCGCTGGAGTTGTTAGGTAATAAACTGAACTTCACTGGGGTTGCCAGGTGAGGGGGATCTTACATTCTGGAGGTTTTTGTAACAGGTTATTTTTCAATTACCAAAAACATTAAATTATTGACAAAAACACTTCTGGGTGTTTTATAAGTGCTTTAATATACTTTTTTGTTACGTTTATTAATCACTGAAGGGCTTACCAACATATATTCAAAACACATTGTCACAACAAAACAGTCTGGAACATCTTCCAGGTCCCTAAGGTGTTTGGTTCAGGTCTACTCTTCATTCTCAGAACCAGAATGAAATATTGAGAAGCAACATTCAGCTTTTATGCTTATCTAATCTGGAACAAACTTCCAGAAAACTGCAAAGATGCAGAAACACTTAGTTCCTTTATATCAAGGCTAAAAACTCACCTGCTTAGAGTTGGCTTTGACTAGTTGTAAGTGGCACATTAATCAACATATTCATGATTTTGATGTTGGCATTTGACAAAATGTAAAGTTTATTGCTAGTTTCATAATTGGTTACTGTATTGTAGTTTTATGATGTAAAGCACTTTGAACTGCTAATGTTGCTGAAATGTGCTATACAGATAAACTTGGCTTTACTTGACTTAAATGGGATCTGAAATCTGTATAAGAAAAAGAGAAGGAGCTGAACCTGTCAAAAGACGGCCTTTCACCAGAATCAAAAGCCTCCTGTAGCTCTTTCACCAGACTGGTGCGTCCAGGCTGGCGAAACAAGCCCACCTCATGCAGACCACGTTCCCGGATAAATGTCACACACTGCTCCACCACCAGAGGAACCAAACGCACTCCATACCGACGCTCATACAGCACCGTCTCATCCAGACGTTGCCCAAAAACCCCTGCAACAGAAACAGAAATCCCTCCCTTACGATAAATCCTAAAATCATACTGGAGTTCTCTGTTTTTGTTAAGCTTGTAAGAGTCAATAAATGTTTTGTGTTAGGGTCTCCAAGTAATACCAATGAACACATGAACCATTTTGTGTGTGTTAGTGAGTTCCCACCTGTGAAAGGGATCCAGACTCCCTTGTTAAGGCTCTTCAACCACTCGTCACCCTGACCAGCGCTGTTGGATAGGAAGAAATAGGAGCCTGGGCTGGCCAGCACATCTCTGTTACCTACATTTACACAATAATAAATCATATATTTTCACTTAAGATGTCATTCTCAGTGGGAATCATCATGAATCAATTCCTCCTGCCTGGGATTTAAGATTAGCCAGTATGCTAAAAAGAAATCTTTTTTTAAAACTTGCATTTTATTATATGTAGAAACTTTTTTAGGCATTATAGTGACAAGAAATTGTTTCAAAGGATAAAGTTGAACTGTTTCTGCTTTGAATCATGCTTAGTGGTAGCTTTCTGGCTAAGCTAATCAGCTAATGAAGCTAATATTCAGAATAAAATTCTCTTTAGATTGTCTCTACTTTTAAAGCCACAGCGGCTAATCACAAGTCAGTTTGTTATTCAACTGGTTAAAGAGCAAACTGTATTTTAGCATCAATAATTGGTATTTTAGCAGACTTGTGAAATATTGATTGGATTTTGTAACAGTTATAAGACCAAATATTTATTGATGAAGACACAGTTGAACTCTTTCTAGCCTTACTTAAACATGTCCTCAATGTTTAAGAAAGTTTCCAACTAATACCAACAGCTCAGTTCTCACTAATGAGCTGTTGTTTGTCACTATTTTCAGACTCTTAAATGTCATTGACGTTGCTTTTCATCTGTTCTTGAATCTTCTTGAAGGAATGATATACTGCTTTTGAGGTTTTTCAACCTACTTCGTGTTGTTAGACAGGTTCTACATAAATTATTTTTTGCTTCCACACGTCTGACAGCATTCAGGAAAGACTGTAGCTAGAGAAACTGAAGTATGCTTAAACACATTACATTCATGACTAACAAAGTTTGGGTTGGGTTGTTTTTTTTCACTTAGCTAATCATTATTTTAAAACTGCATTCTTTATTTACTTTGGTTATCTTTGTTGATCTGTAGGAAGCAAGAGCAGAACAGTAGATGTAACCTTCAATTGCCCATCATGCCATCACACACTTAAACACTGTCCTCTTTCTAGTTCCCATCATCCTTAGCTTTCTGTCCCTCTCAATGTCAATGTACACACACACACGCACACACACACACCCCCCACCCCCACACACACAACAGGACACACAAGACAAGAATCTCAAACTTCCTGACTCAGCATTTAACTGTTTTCCTTGGTGGATGACACATGCAACCAGAGTTTGAGAGAGATTGGGGGTTAACATGCCAACTGTGTGTATTTCTTACCTTTGTGGCCTGTACTGTCATATTTCCAAGACTTAAAGCAGCTGAGTCCCATGCTGCAAACACTTCTGGCCTGGTTGAAGATGCTCAACCCAAAGTGATGATGTACTTTACAGAGTTAAAGAGGAATTAATAAATAAAATAGGTCACAAATACATTTGACAAAAAAAAAAGAAATTCTGGATAGAAAGAGACGCACCATCAAGTTGATGCTGAACAATCATGGAACAATTAAATTGTAAAAAATTAGGAAGAAAACCAAAAGGTCTCTAACACGGATCCACAGACTGGTTTTAGAAGTTTGGAGTTTGAATCAAGACTTTTGCCAAACTTTCTGCCACTGAAAAAAGTCTCTTTTTCAAATTATGTTGTTTTCATCAACATTTTGATCTACAAATGTTTATCTTAGGGGAAAGTTCTCTGTATACAGGTTCTTCCATTAGTAATTCATGGCAATAATTAGGAATTTGATGAGAGGTTTCAAGTTAAAAAAAAAAAAAAAAAAAGCTTATCAAGAGGAGTTCTTGAAAAACAAGCATGGAAAATCTTGGAAAAATCTTTGGTGGATATGATTTCTGTAGAAGTTATTGCATTGTTGAAAAGCTTTTATAGGTACAAATATGCTCACCCCTAAAATGTCCAAAGCAGTCTCTTCAAACCTAAATATGTTCATAAAAGGTTCTGTCAGAAACTGTGGAGAACTTGCCAATAAAAGGGTGTTGATCCTTGACAAGCAAACTGGAATGCTGAAAATCGGTTTGTTGTGTTGTGTCTTTTTTGCAAAATGGTTTTGGATTGTCATTTGTTCTCACATCCCAGTTAGATTCTCATTGATCCTGTAATTGTGGAGAACATATCTTTGCAGAAACTGCACCCAAAACCGTCCCAGATCCAACCTGAGCAGGAGAATTTTCACCTTGCTTCCTATCATTGGAGCGTCTTCTGACCGGCACGCTGTCTTTTCTCCTTGATGTTCCCCTTTAGCCTTTGACACCAGTGAATGGTCGGTAAATGCATCCTGAAGGAACTTTGTTCTTCCTCACCATCTCCAGAACACTTCATCCTCCACGGTGAAAAGACGCCATATTAGTATTCCTTCCTGCATCTCCTCTCCTCCCTTGTCCCCCTCTCTATGTCCTCTGCTTTATTACCTCTTTTACTGGACGTCCCGCACCATTTTCAAAGGACACTTCACACATCAGGATGTCCATGTCTTCGCCAGCCCCTCTTTTTCCTCTCTTCCTTCACGCCATTCCTTCCCTCTCCAGCTGTCCCTGTCTTTGTCCACGTCCAACTTCTGTCTCATTCCCACTACCGCCTTCTGTCTTTCTCTCCATTTCCCAGCAGTGTGTGTGCCCCTTGTTGCCCCCCTCCCCTTTTGCCTCATCAATAACCATGCTGTGTGTGTGTGTGCGTGAAGGCTGTGCATTAGGAAAATTGGATCTCTGCGACGCAGAGCTGTTTTACCAAAGTAATCACAGCTGATGGCAAGAGAGGGAGGGAGATGATCTGGCTGAAATTCTGCAGCGGCTGAAGTATGGCCGTTCACGGCACGAGCACACTCACTGTCACCATCATTCAAGTGGACATAAAAGCCAGAGGAGCCACTCAGCCAGGTCAACTTTTGAACTCAATTATAGTATGAACCTCCAGACAGTCCAATTCAATAAGACTGTTTGACTCAATGTACAATACAGTGTACAGTGAGTTGCAAAAATCGGGTTGCTTATCAATACAAGCAATCAAATATTAACAGCTGTTCAATCAAGAGATTAAATCAGCACAAAATCAATTGTGACTTCGCATCGACTCGTTGCTGTGGGGTTTCTTCTACAGAATTTCAGAGAAAATGTTGCTGGATACATTTCTTGAAATATTCATAAACAAGTGTAATATGGAGGCACATTAAATTTCTATTAAAATTGGATTTAGAATCATTAGATGATAACTGGTGACTGATGATATTTTATAAGAAAATATATTTGAATGTTTTTAATTTTTACCTAGAAATTTTATCCAAACATCAAAAATGTCATACGCACTCACACATTTTTCAAATAACTTTTAAATATTTGGCAGTTTTCCAATTATTCTGTGTTACCAATAGCCATTTAAAGTGTTGATGTCTAAGCATAATGTCAAAACAAATTCTGACCAAATAATTTTTTTTTTTTTTCAGCAGAATTGTTGTCATGCGATGTAATCTGTATTTTGAACCGGCAATAATTTGGACATCCCGAGACTTAAAAGGACCAATTCCCAACTGGGAAGATTGAATACAATCTCTGGAGTGTTTGTTTTGCATAATCATGAGGTGAAATTGCCTGTTTTAGTTTTTAGTTAGAAAAACGGAAGAGTTTGTGCTGCCGGTCAATCCTGGAGGAAAACAGCTTAGAGACTGCAAAGGAACTGAGAATGGGGTGAAGCAGGACGACTGCACTAAATATACAGCCAAAGCAGTGAAAGTCCAGGACTAAATCACAATATGTATGTGTGCCAAGAACTGAGAATTGATGTTAACAAATGTTCTCCATCCAATCAGTGAGCATGAACAATTTTACAAAGAAGCAGCAAAATAACTGAAATGTGCAAA